GCTCACAGATCTATCTTGCTCGCTATGTCGGCCCTACACAAGCAAACACACACACACACACACTTTTTGTTTCTCTCTCCTCTCTCTCTCTCTCTCGCTCTGTTTGTGTCTCTATCTCTCTCTCTCTCTCTCTCTCTTTCTTTCTCTCTCATTACCTACTTATCGATCCTTTTGTGGTTCTCTTTTCTGATCCCAACTCTGTGTTTCGACCACTCTCCATCTCATCGCTGCGTGCTGCCACTGATCCCAGCCGTCCATCTTCAGGAACCTGCAGTGGAAGCTCGGCGTCCCTGAGGCCGCCGATGCTGGTCAGGTCCTTCGGGCAGGGACGCCCGAGCTCGGTGAACGGACCACGCAACCAGAACCTGCCACTACGGACGCACGCACCGTGCACACTCACGTGTGAAGCCGTGCCAAGGGGCGTGTAGACCCGCGAGCGGCGGACACATTCATATCCACGCCCTTGCGGTCTGGACTGCGAGGCGCGATCCCGTGGATGCGCGGTCGCATGGGTACAGGGCCCCCTCCTAACCTGATGCCAAGGCGCCTAACCTGACGTCGCCCCCCTGGCATTGGACCTGGCGCGTTTGAACCTAGCCTGACGCCAAGTGGGTAACCTGACGCCACCTCGCCGGCACCCGCCCGGCACGTGCAGCTCCAGATTCCGAGAAGCCTTGAGCTAGGGTGGTTAGGCCAGTTTCGTCTGAGACATCCTCGCATGAGACATCCTCGCGGTCGCATGGTAGGTTCCGAGCGGGGCATCTGCGAAAAAGCATCCCGCATCCACGGCGTCGTGGCAGCTGGGGGCCAGGCCCGTGAGGCCGTGGAAGTGGATACGTCTCCCGCGCGCGATGGACGCGATCGCCTCGACAGCGCCCAAGACAACAACATTGGTCGCAGAGGCGGAGCTGGCAACACCTGCCATGGTTCCGTGTGACAGTGCCCATGCCAGAGGAGAGTCCCTGCATAGAGGCATCCTGGATGGGGTCGGAGCAGATCGGGTCGGAGGATCGCGTCGCATCGCCAATGCATCGGCGATGCATCAGCGGTGCACCGCCGATGCATCGCCGACGTCGGCTGTGTATCGGCGACGCCAGCGTGGAACACATCGGGCTCTGCACCGAGCCGCATCGCCGATGTATTGACGACACCATGCGATCCTCCAACCCCATCTACTCTGAACCCGTCTGGGAGGCCTAGAGCATGACAGTGCCCAAGCCAGAGGAGAATCCATTTGATCCACTTGATCATAATGTTTGATCCCGCGTCGCGGGAGCCCACGCTTGCCCAGAATCCAGGGGGGGGCATGTGCGGCCTGCGGTGCGGAGCTGTGCGGGCATGTGCGGCCGAACGTGGCCATGTATACCCTCGCGCCATGAATGGTGCCATGTGGGGGCATGTGCGGCCGTCCGCCATGGGGTGCGCGGCTGTGTGCGGTGGTGCGGGGGGGGCTGCAGGGGGGGCATGTGCGGTCTGCTGTGCGGAGCTGTGCGCGCATGTGCGGCCTCGCGCGGTCCTGTGCAGCAGCGCAGCCACGAACGGTGCCACGTGCAGGTATGTATGTTGCCATGTGCGGGCATGTGCGGGCAGATCAGCTGTGGCGCAGGCGTTTACTGTTTCTTCTCCTTCCACGAAGCGCGCCCTCCAGCAAGCCTTGCACACCCCTCCCATCAGCTCACGTTGCGAATCCTATCGCAATGCCATTGAGAGTGTATGAGACGAAGCCAGCACGAGGAGAAGTGAGCAGGAGGACGACGAGGACAAGGGGACGCTTTAAGCGCCGCCCATCCTGCACAGAGGTCTTCGCACGCGCCGCGCACACGGGTGCAAAACACTGAGCACGTGCCCCGCACATGCCCGCGCATACGCTCACGTCAATGGACCGTTGCGCGCCGACTGCTGGGACGCCCGCATGTGCGGGGCACATGCCGCGCACGTGCCCCGGGCCCGCACGACGGACGCACAGGCCGAGCCCAAAAACGCCTGCACCCACCCAGGAGCAGGCATCAAGAAGTAAGCCCTGTGTAAGCAAGGGGCTCTGCCTGAGACTTCCCAACGGGCATTCACAGACGATCGACGAGTCTCCCGCTCGAGACTTCCTCCACCTCCACGCCTCAGGAAGCCCAAAATGACGACGGCTATATGATTTGGATATCCCGCCCGGGTTACTAGCATGATCCAACGGCGTCGTAGCGAAGGGGCTCCCGCCTGATACCTACTCCCTCACTGGTCACTCACAGACGAGGCCTCCGCTCGAGACATCCTCCAGATCCACACCTCAGGAGCCCTAACAGCGGCGACATCTACAAGATGTGGTTGACCCACTCGGACTACCGACATGATCTGGCGGACCCATCGGGAGGGGGCTCCCGACTGAGACTTCCTCACTCGTCGCTCACAGACGAGGCTCCCGCTCGAGCCATCCTCCAGACCAGCGCCTCAGGAAACTAGAAGCGAGGACAGTTACAAGAGTTGGATGACCCGCTCGGAATACAAACATGACCTGGCGGCCCCATAGGGAGGGGGCTCTCGCCTGAGACTTCCTCACTAGTCGCTCACAGACGAGGCTCCCGCTCAAGACTTCCTCCAGATCAACGAATCAGGAAACTAAAAGCGAGGACAGTTACAAGAGTTGGATGACCCGCTCGGCATACAAACATGACCTGGCGGCCCCATAGGGAGGGGGCTCTCGCCTGAGCTTTCCTCACTGGTCACTCACAGACGAAGTTCCCGCTCAAGACTTCCTCCATACCCACGCCCCAGGACACTAAAAGCGAGGATAGTTACAAGATTTGGATGACCCGCTCGGCATACAAACATGATCTGGCGGCCCAATAGGGAGGGGGCTCCCGCCCCAGAATTCTTCCAGATCCACGCCTCAGGAGCCCAACAATGACGAGAAATACTCTAGATGGGGTAATAATCGCCCCCCCCCCCTGGATCCGCTGGGGGTGTTGGGCACGTGCTGTCGGAACGGGTGGAGGGGGGTTGGAGGAAGAGGAGGAGGATGGGGACGGAGAGGGGGATGGAAGGGGGCGGGATTGGGCAAGCTCAGTCAGAAGGCTGATCCCCCCCTCTTTGATATACATATATATATACAAACATCCAGAATACAAATGTTCGAGGGCCCGCTCGGAATAACAGCAAACGGGGCTCCCACCCGAGATTTCCTCACAAGACAGTCACCGGGCGAGGCTCCCGCTCGAGACTCTCCCTTCAATGGAATTTGCGAGCGTGTGTGAGTGTAAGTACGAGTGAGTGTGCGGGATGCTGCTGATGAAGGGATGGTGGTCCTGATGGGATGGAGATCGTGTTGATAATAGCGGTGCCATGGTGATGATGATGATGATAATGCTGATGATGATGATGATGATGATGATGATGATGATGATGATGATGATGATGATGATGATGATTATGATGACGACGACGCTGACGATGTGAGTATGAATGGTTGAGCGCGTGTGTGTGCGTGAGTGAAGTGACGATACCTGTGATGAGGATTGTGATTGTGATGGTGATGTGTGTGGGGGGGATCCCCTTGATGTTCCTGCGCGGGGGTGTCCAAAGAACACACGAAAACATGTCGGGTGTAGGGAAAAAACGCACAAGCAGCCATGGTCGTTGATTTCTGGTCGGGGGTCAATTTTTCATATTCCTGAGAAATCAGAAAACAAAAAACCCGCTACAAAAAAAAACATCGACATTTTAAGCATCAGCAACAATCATAAGAGTGCTGGGGATCATTGTGTTTCCAGGTTTCATCGGCACCTGACATAAAACAAATCGTTTTGACATACAAACGCACGGTACTCATTGATAGGATCACTGAAGTTCCAGACCGCGCATGCACGGCTGAGAACCAGCACGCATCAACGAAAACCATACGTTTTGACAACTAGGTGACCCCTGTGCCTGCACACGGGTCACTGAGGTTTGGTTCCCTCGCGCACCCACGGAGACTCCGGAGCTTCCAAATCTGCCTTCCGTGGCCTCAAAGACGCTCCAAGACGGTCCCGAATCGCGGAACGATTGGCCCAAGACACCTGCGATGGCTCCAAAACACCCCACGACGCCTTCAAGACGCCCCAAGAGCCTCGGCAAGAGAGCCCCAAGAGGCAAAAAAACAATTGTTCCCCTAGGGTTTTCCATTGTTTTTGGTGTTATCGTCTTCACGGGAACAAGAGGCCCCGTACACTGCCCCAAAACTGCCCAAGAGACAATTGAGAGGGCCCCAAGACGGCCCAAGAGGGTTCCAAGACGGCCCAAAGATGGGCCCAAGACGGCCAAAGATCACCCCAAGAGGGCCCCAAGAGAGGCCAAGAGGGAGAACACGAACCGAAAATACCCAAGCGGTCCGAAAGGCCCAAAGGCCCCAAGAAACCCCCAAGCGGCCCCAAAGAGGTCCCAAATACGCCCCAAGAGGCACCCACGCCGCCCAAAAGAGACCCCCAAACGGCTCCCAGGACGCAGGACAACTGCCCGCCAGGACCCCAAACACAAGAGTCACCAGATAGTGCCCGGAAAGCCCACGACGCCTCAACCGTGGACTCCCCGCCTCCTCTTGGGGTCGGCGAAAAGTCGTAAGCCACTTGAATCAAAAATCAAAGACTGTCATATGGTTTTGCCATTGGTTCCTGCGGTGGTGCAGTGTCCCCCCAATGTTATGAATGTGTTGTGTTTTTGTGTTTGAGGTATTGAAATTTTCGTCGGGCTCGAATCCTGAGCTCGGCTTTGCACGAGCACGCGGAAGAGAAGAAAAGACAAAGAGAGAGAGAGAGAGAGATAACAAAAAAAAGAAATAAAGAAACAAAACATACGAAATAATACAGCAAACAAATATGGACGTCGACAAAAGCAGGATACCACACCGATACATAAAAGGATTTGTTGCCCTCACCCCTGAGCCGGCGCCAGAGGCGCCGTCAGTAGGGCCCAGAGCAGATACAAGAAATCTGCGCGGAGCTCCGAAAGTATATCTTCATGACGCTTGTCGTTTTCGGATAACGGTGCTGCCGCACACAGCGCCTTCCTTTTTCTCCGCCGAGGCAAGACTGGCGCGATTGACGGCCTCCCGCTCATGGCCGAGGAGCTCAGTCGGAGCACAAGGCCCGAAACATCCGCGTGTCCGAGTGCTGGGGCCCCCGGCACATCTCGCTGAAGCGGCACGCCTCTCGACAGGCCTCCTGGGCGTGGACGCGGTCGCCCAGCATGGCGTGCAGGTGGTACGCGTCGAAGTGCGCCTGCATCCGAAGTGTCTTCGGGTGGAGGCCCTCCTCGTCGCACAGGTCGAGCACCTCTCGGACAATGCTGACAGAAGAGGACAAAACTGCACAAACATGAGCATGGGAACGTCCGCGCGGATTTCATGGATCGGCGCTGGGCCCCCCTCTCCTGGCGCGCGGAGCGCGTCAGGGGTGGCGCCGGACACGCCGCCATGGCAGAATCAGTCTGCGTCGAACCTGGACATCGGATCGAAGTGGAATGTGTCGGATCGGGCTGCATCGGCACGGAATCGAAATAGCGTCGGATCGGCTGCGCCAGGATGCACAACAACGCCATGCAAACGTCGAGCCGCATCGGCTCGTCGGAATATCGGGATCGAATACGATCGGACACCAGCCAGAATCGATATCAAATCGGATCGATCGAATCGGAATGGACCATGCCAGAGGGCTGCAGCGCAGATCCAGGAAACTCACGCAGACCTCCAGAAGCTAATGCTCAAGCCGTCTTGTTCTTCTTCGAGCTCAGGCCGCGCTCGACGTCCGCGTCGGCGCCCTCGACCCGAAGGTCCTCCAGGCACTCCTGTCTGGAAGACGTGAGATCCGAGTTTGGAAAACTCGAGTTGGCCTGACGGGGTCGTCAACAAAAAATGCGAGATCCAGTCTGAACTGGGACGCCAACTTCCGCTGCACACATCCCACGAAAGCTGGACCGTAAAAGTCAAGACGGACTTGTCAAAAAATCTTTGCTGACCCGAGATCCAGCGAACTCGAATCTTCCGGAGAGAGTGTTTTTGTTTACCCTCTGGGCCATGACGTGCGTGCGCCCGCGGCGCTGCCGCAGTGCGTCCGGCACCACAGTCTGAACGAGGGGGCGCTACGTTATGCCCCCTCCCGTCTCTGCCCCTTCATTGACCAACTCAGGACCCCTAACCCTATGGGCCTATGGGAGGGGACCTAAGTTAGGAAGGCCAAGAACATTAGGGATAGGGCGTCTTCCCTGTGGATGCATCAGACCAAGCCGCCCAGAATTATGATCCCTGATGCGAAGACGGGGACCTCAGTGAGGCCACGCCTTCCTGGTGCTATCAGGGTCAGGGTTTTTTCTGTGCTCGACCACCCCCATCCCCCCACAACGCGCGTTCTGGCCGCGAACAAAAAACTATAGAATTTCTACGGGTCTGAGCGAGATCACTCGGATCCCTGAAGAATTTCTGGGGATCTGGGCGAGATCCCTAGGATCCCCGACGAATTTCTAAATTTCTACAGATCTGAACGAGATCCCTCGGATTCCTGAAGAATTTCTATGGATCTGAGCGAGGTCTCTAGGATTCCGGAAGAATTCCTAAGGATCAGGTGCTCCCGCTTCCCCGATCCTGCAGGTAGCGCAAGCGGCGCCTGCGCCCGTCACTGGCGGCGGCCGCGGCGCCGCTCCGGACGCACGCCGGGCACCTGCACGTGAACCCGAGCTCCTCTCGCAGGAGCGCCAGCCTCTCGTCGGTGGGCGCGGCCAGCTCCATCCAGTACGTGCGCAGCTCCTCGCCCGCGGCGATGTCCGTGCTGGCGTAAACGTGCATCTCCGAGAGGTCCCCGTCGAAGCTGTGCTCGCAGTTCGGCGAGCAGGAGTGGTTGAAGCGGCTCAAGAGGGTGAGCAGCACGAAGCCGTCGCCTGTGCGGTAGCCGTTCGTGCGCATCACGCCATCGAGCGATCGCTGCCCGTCCGCCTGGCCAGAGCCATCGACAAACTGATCGTGGAGACTCATCACGACCTCCTTGTCTTCCTCAGGCAAGCCGTCGAACATCTCCTCTACTCTATCTTCTTCTCCCCAGCTGAAGGCCATCACAGGCCGCTCCGCAACGACAAGGTCACCGCAGGCGAAGTCGCTGGTGGCGACGACGCCCAGCCTCAAATGACAAAAAACGCTGGGACGTTTTGTTTGTTCTCCCCTCCGTTTTTCACATTTTCACATGTCTACATTGACTCGATCAACAAGTGCTGAGGACGGCATCCCGAAAAGTGGGCCTCAGAAAATCGCGTTGAGACGCAATGAAAAAAAGAAAACGCGCAAGCGGGCCACACAGGCCAATCCCAGACCTGAAAACGGTAACGAAAACGGCGCCCAAAATGCTCGCAGCCTTGGGGCAGGAGAAGAGCCGAAACTGCAGACACTGAATCTCTCAAAGGTCCTCGCAGATGTATCGAATCGGCGTTGGGCCTCCCACCCCGGCGCGCGGAGCGCGCAAGGGGCCTCGCCAGAGGCGCCGCCACGGGGACCCAACGCCGATCCTTGAGACCCGTGGGGAACTGTGAAAACGTACGTGTATGCAGTCGGGGCCTTGACCTAAGGAATCCTAAATAAGGAACGAAGCCCCTTTTTTATCCCAAGGAATAACGCATAGAGGAACGATAAATAACAAATAACGCATAAGGAACTGTAAATAACACATGCAAACCCAAGGAACGACCGAGCCCCTTTTGAAAAGTAAGCGTTCCGTATTCAGGCCGCCCACCGTACATTTCTCCCCACACAGTTCTTGCACTTAGGGGTTCGCACGTCTCTTCCAAGGAGCTGGGCCTGCGGGTCGGGCGGCTATGTTGTCGCTCCGCCGCCCCGTCGGCGCCTCGTCGACGCCCGTCGCCTGGGCCTGCAGGTCTGTCTGGCGGCTAATTATGTTGTCGCCGTCGCCGTCGACCGCCGCCACTACTTCTGGGCCTGACTGTTTGCACTTAGGGGCTCTTGCATATTCGTGTACACTTCTCGACTTGTGCGTGTCATCCTTGCGCAGGGGCCATGCTAATCCTCTCTGTATCGTTCCAATTTTAACGGATGATCCCCGAAGGGAATCCGTGGTGGTGCCTCCCTGGTCGCCGTCGCCACCTCGTCGCCGCCCTGGCGCCGCCTCGTCGGCGCCCGTCGTCTGGGACGGCAATGCTTGGCAATTGATTGGCAATGCTACACCATGCTTTACACTGCATTGCGCTGCATTGCTCTGCAATGAGTTGCAGTGCTATGCCGTGGTATGCAATGTTGTGAATGTTGTTGCATTGCGTTGGGTTGATATGCATTGTCTTGCATCGCTTCGCATTGCTCGCACTGCATTGCAATCGCATTGCTTTGCGATCACACTGCGCTGCGTTGCTTGGCAATGCTTGACGTTGGTTTGCCGTTTTATGATGTGCGTAGCACTGCTTGGCATTACCTGGCATTGGTTTGCGTTGCTTTTCGTTGCTATCGCAATGCTTTGCAGTGATTTGCATTGCGCTCCATTACTTTCATTGGTTTGCGTTGCAATGCTTCGCATTGCTTTGCACTGCAATCGCATTGCATTCCTTGAATTGCTGTGCATTGCTTTGTGTTGCGTTGCATTGTTTTGCTTCGCATTACGTAGCATTAGTTTGCATCGATTTGCCTTGCTTTGCACGGCTTTGCAACGCCCAGATTGCACCACATTGATTGCACCGCCTAGACTGACCCACATAGATTACAAGAAAACACGACTTGGGACACATGCTGGCCAACATCAGTCATGCTGATTTGATCTTCGGATTTGTACGAGCTTGTTTTCATCACTGATATCTGTTGCATTTCCACTGCCCGTCGCCCCATTGAGGTGCTTGGAAACGTTCCCATGCCTTGCAATTATAAATTCCTTCCCGGGTTCGTGGGTCGATCATGGTTTTGGGCACTCTAATACATATATACAAATACATATACAAGACAACTGGTTGAAACCTAAAAGCGCGTTCAAACATCATGTCTTCCAACACGCCGACATAAAAGCGGTACAAAAAGCCCAGGGCAATTTCGAATAACCGAATTCAACCGGGAAAGAGAGAGAGAGAGAGAGAGAGCGAGAGAGCGAGAGAGAGAGACAGACTGAGAGAGAGAGAGGGTAAGCGCGGAGTGCATGCGAAGATTTCAGGAAATCCGCTGGCTGGTCCTCCGGCGGGCATCTCAGGCCTGAAGATCGAGGAAGTCTCGAGCGGGAGACTCGTTTGTGAGGGCATTGCGAGGATTTCCCAGGCGAGCGCCGCCTCCCTGCGGGGCCCGCAGCTCACGTTTGCATTCGAGGCGGGTCGTCCTCAAACCTGTGGCTGTCGTCACTTCTGGGCATCCCTGGCGCAATGGGCACGTCTCCCCGCGGAGGCCTGCGGCGCCACCGGGAATCCTGGGAAGCCCGGGCTGCCGTGGGGCTCCGCGGGCGGGGTGCCACTTCCAGGGGCCGAGGAGGCCAGACAGCACCTCGGCGAAGGATCGGGGGGGGGATAACCCATGCGATCCAGCCCTTCAGAGGCAACTACTCGGAGGTTTTCGTCGGAAAGATTGAGGAAGATTAAGCCCCATCGGGGGGCTGTTACGCAAGAGTGGACCTCGGATTAAGCGGGATTACGCGGGATTCAACGAGATTCAGTCGGGGCGCTGACCTCAGGAACCCTAAATAAGGAACGGGGCCCCTGTTTCCCGAAAGTTGAACTTCGATTTCCCATGGAAGACCTCAGGGAAACCGAAGGCAAACTGCACGACAATCAAGGAACACTGAACCCCTCCCCAACGAAAAGGGTTCCTTCTTCAGCGCCCCGACTGTAACCCATGAGATCCACCCCCTCGAAACATCGCAACAGCGTGAAAAATCACGGCCAGAGCACCGCACCTCGAGGCGGATCGATCTGTGAGGGTTCCAGAATCCGAGACCGGGCGAAAACGCCCCGGCCCGAAAGAATTGCGTCACCAGGACCTCAGGGACGGGGGCTAGCGGTTGTGGATGCCACGACAATGGACACCCTAACAACCCTATCATTGAGCTTGAAGTGTGTTTAAAAGGTCGGAGAAATGTTCTAGACATGTTTGGAACATGTTTTTTTTTTGTTTTGTTTTTTTTGTTTTCTCAACATGCTCGAAACATGTTTCACACATGTTTTAAACATCTGGAAACCAGTTGGCAACATGCTTCCTCTAGACGAGCGCGTTCCACGACTCGCAAAGTGACTCCTCGCAAATGGCCTGGACCCGCCGGGGGAGATCTACGAGGAATTACATCGAAACGTACATATTTTGTTCGCACGCTTGCGAGTAGGCACTTTGCGAGTAGCGGAGCGCGTTCGGTGATCCTCTCCATTGATCGTCCCCCACAAGGCTAAGGCTAAGTCGGGCGTGTCCCCCTACAGGGGGATTTCCGAAGAAAAATGTAAAATACTCAAAAGCACCCCCCACATGCTCGAAAATGGTGAACAAAAAATCGTCCCCTGACTATTTTCGGACTGTTGTCGAATATTCCTATTGTAGAGGGACAGGCCCGACTTCAGGCTAGGGGCCGTGTTCGAAACAAGTTTGAAGCACGTTGTTTACATGCTCGAAACATGTTGAACACATGTTCTGGACATCTGGAAAAGACTTGGCAACGCGTTTCCTCTCCATTCTGGCGGCGCGCACAAGGGGGTGGGGGGAGGGGGGAGGCTTCTTAGCAGCAGGCTGCTTCTTAGAAGGCGCCGGCCTTACATCTATAGATAAGGCCCGCAACTGCTAAGAAGCAGGGGTGCTTCTAAGAAGCCCTCCCCCCTCCCCCCACCCCCTTGCGCGCGCCGCTCAAATTGAAAGGAAGCGCGTTGCCAAGCCTTTTCCAGATGCCCAGAAAATGTGTTCAGCATGTTTCGAGTTCGAGCATGTAAATTACTCCGACGGTAGGACCACACACGAAAACCTGTTTAGCTTACACTTTGCCCTTTTCCTCCTCCCCTTGGCGGACATCCTCTCCTCTCGCCCTCTACACTGCCCTCTCTTCCTACTTCTATGTGTCGTCCTCCTTCTCCTCCTCCTCCTCCTCCTCCTCCTCCTCCTCCTCCTCCTCTCGCGCCACCTCCTCCTCGTCGTCACCCCCCCCATGCCCCTTCCCTCCTCATCCTCCTGCCTCTTCTCCATGTGCACCTCCCGTTCCCCCTGGTCGCGGCAAGCAACTCGATTTTCCTCGGCGCCGTCGCCGCGTCGGCCAGCGCGCGCGCGTTTGCCGACGGCTAGATTGCGAAGCCGTCGGGACAACCCTTCGGGCCAGACCGTCGGGGCAACCTCGCAGGCCGCAGGGGCGCGGGAGCCAGCCGCTGGGACAACCCCGCGGGCCTCCAGGTGCGCGCCGCGGCGCGCAGGCGGGCGGCAGCACGAAGCCCAGCTCTGCCGCGAGCTGCTCCGCCTCAGCCCTGGAGTCCACCGCTCTCTTGTCGAACTCCTGGAGCGCCTTCCGCAGCGACGCCGGCGGCCCGCGCCCCAGAAACTCCCGCGCGGGCGGCCGCAGGATCAGCATGTTCCGCATGCACGTGGCGCGAGATAACACGACGTAGAGGCGCAGCCACCACATCTCGTCCGACATGCCCGCGCGGCCAGCGTCCTCATCCCTGGCGCAGTCGGCGGTGGCGCCCTTGCGCGGCGTCTGGCCCTGCGACAGCGTGGAGGTCAGGTAGGGCGCATGCGCCAGGGTGAACCCCGAGCGGCACACAGCGTGCGCCCCCGAGCTTTGCGACGTGCGCTCCTGCTCGCTGGGCCTGAGCAAGCTCCTCGCCCGCGCCTCGGCCTCGGCGTCGTCGGCAGCGCCGTCGGCGCCCCGCTGCAGCACCTCGGCGACCTCCTTGTAGATCGGGGACTCCTGGAAGCCGTGCACCTGCAGCCAGATTCCCTGCGGTGGGTAGCGGGGGCGGAAGAGCTGGCCCGCCGCGCGCTCCTCATTGCCCCGCTCGTCGTCTGCGTGAAACCCGAAGGGCACGACGGTGGCCCGTTGCACCTGCACGAGCCCCGACTTCTTCTTCCACTCCTCCTGCGCGGCCGTGAACCGGACCTCCACGCCGTCGTGCGCCGGCAAGACACCGTGGATGTCCCCCGTCTTGCGCACGTTCGGGGCGGTCAGGAGGCGCCGGCCTGCGTCTGGGTCGCCTTGAATCGCGCCGCACTCGTCTACGGCCTGCAGGAAGACGAGGGGGGCGCCGAGGCGCCGCGCGTCGCGACGAGCGCGCGTGTTGATCCACCTCGCCAGCCTCCCAGTAGACGCCCATGCCGTAGCCGAGCCGGAAATTATCGCGCTGGTGCCGTGGGTCCAGGACGCCGCGGTTGTCAGAGGCCAACGTCTTCTCCCAGGCAGACCAGACCTCTGGTGGGAGGCGCTTGCCCTCGCGCGTGCAGCCCAAGAACGCGATCAGAGGGTCCCCCGGCTCGAAGCGCCTTGTGCCCTTCAGCTCGAAGACGCAGGGGATCTGAGAGAAGACCCCGATGGCGTGATGGATCTCCAACGTCGGCGGCCCCGCGTACTCGTACGACCCCTCGTCCAGGAGCTCGCTCACGTCCGTCAAGAGCCCGATGCTGCGGGTGGGCTTCAGCTGCAGGAAACCCCCGAGGTGCAACGCGATGGGGACGCGGCCGAAGTGGCGGTGCGGCCTCTTGTAGGTGGACTCCTGCACGTCGTGCGTGTCACTGCGCCCGTGGCAGGCGCAAAGGTCCAGCGCGTTGCACAGAGCAGCTCCCGCCATGCTTAACTCCTCGATGACCTGGACGCGGACGTGCTCCCACAACCACTGCAACCTCTTCTGCATGCCCCCCTGTCTCATCTTCGCGTTGATGTACTTCTGGACTCGCAGGGCGCAGGCGTTGTACAGTGTTCTGGCCTTCGCCGTCTCCGTGGAGATGTTCTTCGCCTGCGCGCTCGAGAAGGCCAAGACCATCATGGCGCCTTTGTCCTGCGCCGACGAGGGCCGCAAATACTCCACCACTGGGAAGACGATCTTCTGCACCACGTGCGTCTTCCCCGAGCCGCCCTGGCCCAACAGGAGCAAGTGCGTCACTTTTCTCTCGTTCCAGGGTTTCTTCTGCACGTCGTTCTCCCAGGCGTCGTCGCAGGCCTTGGCGAAATTGGCGACGAAGGACGTCTGGTCCCGCGTGAGTCTATCGTTTTCCGGCAACCCAACGACCAGGGCGGCGATGTACGCGCTGGGCGTTGAGTACACGCTGCTGGCAAAACTGGCCGCAACGCCCGATTCGGCCGCCGATGGGTCACCACCGGCGGCCCGGAGACAAGGGGTTACCCCTGCCCCCGATTCGGCCGGGGATGGGTTACCACCCCCGGCCTGGACGCAAGGGTTTCCCCCTGCGCCCGGCCGCCGCTTCGGCCGAGGATGGGTTACCACCCCCGGCCCGGACGCAAGGGTTTCCCCCCTGCGCCTGGCCGCGTTCGTCCTCCTCAATTCCTTTTCCTCGTCCTCCTCATCCTCCTCCTCCTCCTCCTCCTTTTCCTCCTGCGCCTCAGCTCCAGCTCGCATGCTTCGAGCTGGCTCAGCGCGGGGACTCCCGCGGGGACACACCGGCGGGTTCCCGCCTATGACTTCCTCGCGAGTCACTAACAGACAAGGCTCCCGCCTGATACATCCTCCTTATTCAAACCCTCCGGAGGCCAAAATTGACGACAGTTACACGTTTCGGATGACCCGCCTCGGATTTAAAACGTGAGGTGCGGGCCCCATAGGGAAAGGCCTCCCGCCTGAGATTTCGTCGCAATTCACTCACAGACGAGGCTCCCGCTTGATATTTCCTCCAGATTCACGCCACCAGGCCAAAAGTGACGACGGTTACACGTTTCGGATGACCCGCCTCGGATTAGAAACGTGAGGCGCGGGCTACATAGGGAGAGGCTTCCCGCCTGAGACTTCGTCGCAATTCACTCACAGACGAGGCTCCCGCTTGATACTTCCTCCGGATTCTCGCCACAGGGGCCCAAAAGTGACGACAGTTACACGTTTCGAATGACCCGCCTCGGATTAAAAACAAAACATGAAGTGCGGGCCCCATAGGGAGGGGCTCCCGCCTGAGACTTCCTCACAATTCACTCACAGACGAGGCTCCCGCCTGATACTACCTCCATATTCAAACCAGGGAGTGAGTGATGACGAAATGATGAATGAGTGAATGATGATGTTGATGAGTGTGTGATGAATGAGTGATGTTGATGCTGATGATGATCACGATGGCCACTGAGTGGGTGGTCGAAAGATTATGATGGAGATGGTGACGATGATGCCGAGAGTGGCGGCGGTCCTACCGTCGGAGGACCACTGCCTCCGAAGCCTACTGAAGATGACTGAGTAATTGAGTGAGTGAGTGGGTGATGGTGGTGATGATGGTGACGATGATGATGATGATGAAGCTTATGATGATGAGTAGTGATGAAGGATTATGATGATGAGTAGTGATGACGGTGATGGTGGTTGATGGTGGTGATGATGGTATTGTGATGAGTGCGTGCGTGTGCTGACGATGATGGTGGTTGATGGTGATGATGATGATGGTGAGTGTGTGTGTGAGAGAGAAAGAGAGAGGAAGGGGGGGGTGAGATCCTGCGCGGCGTGTGCAGAGAAAACAAGAACCCCACTTTGGATGTGGGGAAGAAAAACACGTGTCAAACATGTTTTGAACAAGGCTCCTAGCCTGAAGTCGGGCCTGTCCCTCTGCGCGTGGCTGACCATTGCCTGTCCCCCACGAGGCTAAGGGCCCAGCCCCAGGCCGGCGACGGGCACGACCTCGAAGCTCCTGCGGCCGCCCCCGTACCGGCAGCGCGCCTCCGCGCGCGGAGCCGGGCCCGGCGCGCCGGCCGCACGCTGCGCGCGGCCGGGGCCCTGGGCGCGGGGCGTGCGGGCCCCGTGGGGGGGGACCCTGTTCCCGTGCTTTTCTCCCCCCTCCTCCTCCCTCCTCCTCCTCCCTCCTCCTCCTCCTCCTCCTCCCTCCTCCTCCTCCTCCTCCTCCTCCTCCTCCTCCTCCTCCTCTCCTCCTCCTCCTCCTCCTCCTCCTCTCCTCCAACTCCTCCTCCTCCTCCTCCTCCTCCTCCTCCTCCTCCTCCTACTCCTCCTCCTCCCCTCCTCCTCCCCTCCTCCTCCTCCTCCTCCCCCTCCTCCTCCTCCTCCTCCTCCCTCCTCCTCCTCCTCCTCCTCGTCCTCCTCGTCCTCGTCCTCGTCCTCCTCCTCCTCCTCCTCCTCCTCCTCCTCTCCTCCTCCTCCTCCTCCTCCTCCTCCTCCTCCTCTCCTCCTCCTCCTCCTCCCTCCTCCTCCTCCTCCTCCTCCTGTTCCCCTCCTTCTCCTCCCCTCCTCCTCCTCCTCCTCCTCCTCCTCCTCCTCCTCCTCCCTCCTCCTCCTCCTCCTTCTCCTCCTTATCCTCCTCCTCCCCCTCCTCCTCTCCTCCTCCTCCTCCTCCTCCTCCCTCCTCCTCCTGTCCCTCCTCCCCCTCCTCCCCCTCCTCCTCCCCCTCTGTGAAGATGCAACTCCTGATCCGTTGCGACGGATGTCGGTATGACATGCTATAGGCTTCCGCTGAACAGCCTAAAGCTCAAGGGCCCTGAGCCACAATGTTACAGTCAGTACATCACGAAACGAGGGGCAAGCACGTGCATGCACTCGCCATCACTTTCACACTCGTTCTAAAATTCTGTTGCCCCGAGGCAATCCCGGGAATATGGAAACACGCATGGCATATCACACGTGAAAATATGAACTCAGGGCTGTCAGCCGTCGATCGGCTTAAATACATTCAGCTCAGCGGTTTTTACAGTTCTACAGGAAGAAGGCAGGTGGACGTATACTTTACCGGGTGTGAGCACCGATCCCATCATCAAGGTATCACCACCATATCCAATTTCTCCCATGTCGTAGCCCATGAGGTCAATAAAGTGTTACTATCATCATCATCTGCTGGCGGCGTGTCCTGATGAAACAAAACTCCGCCGTTCATAGCAGCTCGTATTTGGGTGCCGTTCATCCTTTTTGTCAGAGCATATGCCACCATGTACTTCGTAGGACACCATGAAAGAGGCAGCTTGGACTTGGTAGCTGCAGCAACTTCTTCGCATAGCTCATCTTCGAATAGCTCCCTCAAACCAATCAAATCTAAAACCAAACGGCGCTCTGCTGGTAATTTGACAGCTCCTTCTCGGTGAAGGGTGTCGTACAAAGATGCACAGTCGGTCACGCACTGTATGGGGCATAAACTCGGGTCTATATCGTCGATCGTCATGTTAGGGTATATTATATCCAGCACCGAAGCTCGCATCACAATAGCTGCTCCCAATGCATCAACTGCGCTCATGGTCTCCGCTGCAAACCTACTTCTGCATACTCGTCTGATGGTAGCGGATCGCCAGTCCACTAAAGCAGCCTTGCCTTCACCATCATTGAGGATCTTCCTCTCGGCCACGAAAATCCGAAATCCCGCTTGACTCTTGACCTTGAGGCGCTTGGGCGCTTCTGAGGCAAATGCCGTGCGCACTCAGCAGGCACGCCACCAAGCAACCCCAGAGACCTTGTCATCTGGCTCGTCAACGTTAGCCCATGCGGCGTCGTGAAACACAAGTTTACACAAATCTCCCTCCATCTTCGGAGTAGTGACACCGGTCTCCTTGAAACGTCGAGCCTCTGACACGATACGGTTAGTTTCGATGAGGTCGGCCACCACAGGTGAATTCTGAACTCTCTGAGACATCGAAACTCCTGCTGATAAGTCGGGTCGCGTCTGAGTCCCAAGCCAGCCTAAACTCCCCACCAAGCTCCTGTTCTCCGCGATCTCCAACTCTGTGGCTGGACATCCCAAGTCTCGCTTGCGCTCCTTGGTGAGATCGAGTGGCTCCAGCTTGTCGGCGAACACTTCTTGACATAGGATAACTGAACCGTCGGCACGAGTAGTCGCATCCGTAGCGCAGAACGTGAAAGGTAAACCTTGCCAACCTCCGAATGGAAATAGCTCCTTGATGGTCTGGTAGCTGGACTTTGTGCTAGCGGCTATCAGTAGGTCGTCGACATGAACACACACGATGGCCTGCAGAGATCCATCTGATCCGTGTCCCACGAACAAGGCTGGGTCCACCAAGCTCTGTGCCAGGTTGGACTTGCGGCCGTTCTCGCCGATCAGCTCCACCTTGAGTAGGGTTCTCTTCAGCGTAGCCCACCATTGCCTTGGAGCCGTCGCAAGACCAAATACCCCTTTGACAACTCGTAGCACTTGTCCAGGCATCAGTCCGGGCAATCCTTGCGGCGGTTGTTCCATGAAAAGCTCCTTCTCGCGAGGTTGCTCCTCGCCCTGCATGAACTAGGACATGATGTCTGCACGCACGGGCCCCCAGCCGCGCCGAACCGTCATAATGAAAAACATCAGCGAACTCGTACTCGTCACAGTCGGAGCGTCGGTTCTCAAGGCTCCACTTTGTAGATCTAGATCGCGGTGACCTCCAGCGCACAACCGAGCCTTGGCCTTAACTGGTACTGGATTAGCCTCCGTGAGTATGGTAGCGTTCTTGTCACGAAACACAAACCTCGACGGTAGGAACCGACTCTTGTCGTTCTGCCCCCTCGCCTTGGCTGAAGCCTCGGGCGACATCACCTCCACCGACCCGAACTTCTTCCACTCTTCCGAGTGCTCCGCGATCGCCTTGATGTAGAGGCCCTTCTGTTCGTCGGGAATGACCTTCCAAGCGATCTCCTTGTCTTGCAGCTTCTTCCGGGGCCTCTCGCTCTGGGCTCGAGCTCCTCGCAGCATCGTGGCGAAGGCGGCGTTGGTAGAGCTTCCTTCGTCCAAGTCGTCACCCGCCATCGTATAATACGGCTGGGCTGCTTGCCGTGCTGCTTCCGCCTTGGCGCGCGCCGTCTTGATGCGCAATGGCACGTCATCGAGGGGGCTGCATGCCGCTCGTCGTCTCTGAAACTCTTCGCGACTCCAGTCTCCGTAGTCTGGCCCTGCTTGCTGCTGGGCTGGCCCAGGTGCTGCTGATGAGGAAGGTGCTGGCGCAGGTTGCCCAACTGAGGTCTCGTCCTCCACGGATGGAAGCTCGACGTCGGCTTCATCTTGAGGCTGCGCCACTTCTGCGGAGGGATCTGCCTCGGGAGGCCCAATCTCTACGTCCGCGGCGTCCTCTTCCTCTGGCGGCGGTGGCGGTTCAGCTCGAAGGTCTTCGCACTCCATGTCAGCGGCCACGTCGGCGCCCCTGATGGCGCGCTGCAGCTGCTCAATAGCCTCCACGTGTTGATCGTCAATGCCAGGCCACCAGATCTCCTCGGATGAAATCGGTCGAGCATGTTCTGGAGCGATGAGCTTCGTGAAACCACCATGCGATATCCAGTAGTTCTGGCCTTGCTTGCCTGCCACCACTGCCGGACCAAGCCAGGCCCCTTTCTTGATGGAGCCCTTCTTGAGCTGCCGATAATAGAAACACAAATCTCCCTGCTCCAAGGGATGAGGAGTAACTCGGGCACGTCCAAGTAGAGCCTTGCGCAAGGTACTGTCGTTCTGCATCTCCATGAAAGCCTTGCGCGCTGCTGCCCCCATCTTGAGTTGTCGCCCCATCGGCTGTAGCTCCGCGCCCTCGCGAGCCGCATCGCGATGAGCTCCGTCAACAAGGTCGGCAGGTAAGCGCGCGCTCTTTCCAAATACCCACTGCTCCGGACTGAGGCCACACTGTCGGCGCAAAGCGTTCTTCGCTCCAGTAGCCACGGACGCGAGTACACGCATATATGACTCTCCAGCTGCTTGAGCATGCGCAATCGTCCTCTCGGCTAGCTCCTTCCACCAGCCTCCTTGCCTTTCAGTCCGCCCATGTTGCCACGCGGCCTGCCCTGCCACTGGCACCACGGCGCAGTGAAATCTGTCGAGCATCTCCTGGAATACTGAGCCAAAGCCTCTCTCGAGGTCCACCGCGACGCTTGTCGGAGGTCCTGCCCAGCTGGTCCAAATCTGAGTAAACGCCCGCACGAGCGTCTCCGAATGATGGCTCTCTATCATTCCAACCACGTGAAATGTAGTACCCAAATCCACCACTGAGAGAAAATCCCACGACTGGCCGCTCGCGCCCTTGATCGTGAAACAGTCCACGCCGATCTGCTCGTTGAAATCTGCCGCGTGAAATAGTCTAGCTGGGCGCACTATCTTCTTCTTAGCCTTGCTCATGCAGGGCGCGCACCCTAAACGACTTAGCCGCCTTGACCACCTCAGCTTGGCAGCCTGAGAACCTCAAAGATCGGGCCAGGTCTTCGTTACTAGGATGGCCCAAGTTCTGGCGTAGCTGACGTAGCGCCGACAAGTCCTTACTCGAGCACTCCGAGCTTCCAGGACCGAACTGAATAGCCTTGGCGCCCAGGTCGCTGGACACCGGCTCTGGCTTGCACCACATTTGCACCTTCAACTTGGCTGTGCGATCCAGCTTGGCTCGTATGTGATCCAGGGGAATGTCTGCTTTCTCGAAGTCCTGTAGCACCACGTCGGCGTCCAGGTCCGCAATGCGGCGACGTCCCACTCGTGTCCAGTCGGGGCCGTCTGGAAGCTTGGTTGGCAGCTCCCTGTAGTCGCCTATGGTCTCGCAGTAGAACCACTCGTCGGACTCTCCGCCCATGAGGTCCATCAGGTCTCCGGTCGCGTATATTCCGTACTCCATCATATAGGTAGAGTTGCTGCACTGATAGGCCACTAGCACTGCTTTCGCGAACTCCTTGGTGTATCTGCCAGCCAACCGTGTATAGTGAGCTCCCTCCAAGTGGTCATGACGATGTTTTCCGTCGCATATCTTGCCCAGCTTCCTGACGCACGACTCGTTGGATACCAGAAGCTTGGTCGACTTGCGGACCTTACCTCCATATCTCGGATGTCGTAGGTTGAAGCGGCACATGTCGACTTTCACCTCATGTACTCTAGGATGGGCCATCACACGAAGCAACTGTGGCTGTTTGAATGCTTCTGACTCCCAAGGGTTCTCGACTCGGATGTCGCTCGTGTTGCCCAACTGCAGCATACTCACTTCTTCCACGAATTCGAGCAACGGCTTGTCACGTAACCACTTCCTCCTCAACTCTTGCTGTCGATATTCGCCTCTGTAGTTTATTCTTGTAAGCTGCGTCCCGAGCGTACATGGGAACTCCAGCGTCACGAGTCGAGGTCTGCATGCATGGTACATATACAAAACTTCGCGTCGATCAGCGGGCGCGCGCAGGTCGTAGTTGTAGCGTTGGTCTATGGGCTCGCATACTTTCAAGCCTGCCTGACTGAACTCCTCGGATATGGGCAGCTTCACCGGCGAATATCTGCATCAAATCATAACGTAGATCTGTCTTGATACTGGAAATGCCCCGCATGTCCTGAGCGATTGCCTTCCCTTCGTTGAAGAGAGGCTTGATCAAGAATTACCCAGGGAATGCAGTCTGCCACGTGAGGAGCATCAGAGCCTTGCTTATCATATCCTTGAAGCGCTTGGTCTGGCCTGGCTTCGTCTTCCTCTTCAATCGTGGCCCCTCCGGCGACTCTTCCCGCTCGGTGCGATCATCTCCCACGGCTGGTCCTCCACCACTCCGATGTTTTCGGCGGTCACAAAATCCTCCTCGCCGATCTGGTCCGCGTCGTTCTCGGAGCCGGCGGAGCTCGCGGGCTCTTTGACCGTGCTCGGCTTGGCCACGCAGGCCCCCGAGCGTGAGCTGAAAGCACTCCTCGAAGTCGAAAGCTGCTTCAGCGCTTCCTCCTCCTTCAGCTCTTCCTTCTTGATCGCTCTCGGAACTTGTCCCTGTAGCAAGCATATGATCTTGTCTTGCAGCATGTCGTCGCTGACCTTGATGCCGTTGTTCCTGGTCAGCGCGAGCAGCTCCGCGCGCTTCATCTTGGCGACGCCTCTCAAGTCTGGGTCCAGAGCTGGAGACTTCTTCTTGATCTGGCCGTTCTGGATCCTCCTGTCGTTGAGAATGACGCGCATCTCCCGACAGCTCAGTCCTTGATACTCCAAGTCGCTGTCCTCCATCTCGTCCTGGAGCTCGATCTTCGCCACGTTGCCCGGCGGCAGCAGGCGACGTGGTGCTCGGGGTTCTCGGTCTCGAGATACGAGGCTCTCCCCCAGACGACGCCCGTTGTGGAAAATCAGCCCCACCGACGGATCCCTTGCAATCGCCACGGCTGTGTAGAGAAATCGAAACAGGCGCTTCCAGCGTACTAGAACGGCCGTGTTGTAACGCTTCTTGGTGTCCACGTCCAGGATATTCCAATTCGAGATCCATGCGAGGACGGTAGCTGGTGGCATCCCGCGTCGAGGACGCTGTGCCCTGTGAACTCGTTTGGGCCCACAATGGCTGCCCAGGCTGTTCGTTATGTTTGAGCTCCTCGTGGGTCTGGAGAATTGGCTCTGTGTTTCTGCTTGCTGTGCTTCTTGCTTGCTGCTTATCATCGGCGATATCGTCAGGCTCTGGCTTCATCAGATTTGGCGGATCTCTATGATCTGGCTGATGTTGCGCTTGGCGTTGTCCTAGCTCTCGTTCGAATCGGACTCGCTGTGCTTGATTTTGTCCTCGTACTTGATCGGATTGATCTTCGGGCTCGTCTTGAATCGCATGATGAATGTTATGATGCTCGTGATGTTGATGACTTTCCTTTTCCAGAACCTTCCACCACCTTTGTGAAGGCGGAAGCAGCCTGATCTCTGTCTGGATGGGGCTCACGTCTGGAGCCACTGTGAAAAGTCGGGCCCTGTCGAACTCAAGCACGTTGAAACTGGGGTGCCCACTCTTGGTCTGCCCCAACTCGAGGTCCTGCAAACCGAGCCATCGGAACGTCATGGTACTCTCGCCAGCTCCCTCGCCATGGTCATGCACAGCTCCCAGCTGTCCCAGCGCTCGTTGAGATAACAATCCCGGCACCAGGCAGGGCACAATTGAAATCCCCAGCGTGAAAAGTCGCCCCTGCACGGCGAGTGGAATGAGAGCGGCTATCGCACTGGCAACTGGCTTACCAGCGCCGAAACGAAACATCTCGTGCTCATCAATCTCGATCGGTCGTAAACCCAGCTTGGCCAAACGCCTCTTGATATCATCATGCCAAACTTGGGTTCCAACGGCCTTAGCACAGCACGAATCTGGCAATAATTTACCACCACACTGTTGCAACAGCTCCTCCTTTGAAGTCATAACCACATTCATGGTCGGGAAGTTAGCGTGAATATGGTTGCGTGTCTCTCGACGCGCAGGGTTGATAAATAAACTCTGCCCAGGAATATGCTTCTCCTTGTCGTTCCAGTTGATGTTTGTCGTGGGATAACCTTCTGCTGGGCGCTCTCCTTCGTCTTGGTGATCATCATCCTCAGTTCCAGCCATGTGAACTTTCTTCTGTGGTCCAGGGCATTCAGGGTCTCCCTTCCAGTGTCCGGTTCTCTGGCATACTGCACAATGAGTTCGCGCCCTCAACTTCGCAATTCGGTCACAGCCCTTCCCACCGGAAGATGAAACTCGTCCAGCATCACGTCCCTTGCCCGAGCCGCCCTTGCCTGATCCCGGCATGATGATAGGAACCTCGAGCTTGCTTCGCATCACGTTGTCGATTCTTGGTTCGAACAAGCATCTTCTCTAACTTGTAAACCTCGGCATCCGCGTCGGCGTGCTCCTCCAGAAGCTCTTCTGGCACGTCCTCCGTGTCGACCTCTGTCTCGGCCGTCTCGTTGTTTGTCACCTCCTCGTCGTTCTCTTGCGCTGTCACGTGCGCTCCCTATCTCCGCTATGGTCGGTAGGTAGCCTTGCGGCCTTGTCGTCGGCTGTGTTGATGGGGACTGCGGTGGACGACGAGGGTTGGTGCGATCCATCATCTTTGCGTCCTTTACGTTGAGCAACGTCTGCTTCTGCAAGGGCTTCAGCTCATACTTTTTCTGATTGGAGTTCAAAACTCCTGCTTCACGATCGGGCGGCAATCCGAGCCACCACATAAACAGCCACGCCAATGCTTGATCTGGAAACTCGATGCTCAACGTCTTCAGTCTCGATACCTGCGTGTCGAATATGTTGATATAGCTTCTCATCTCTTCTCCACTCTCTCTTCGCATCTCAGTGGAGAATGTTTTCCACTCTGCGCCGAGCCCCATGACCTTCTCATCGTCGAACTTCTCCGTTAGGAAATCGAGCAGCGTCTGGATCCCTTTTTCGTCCTGCCGAGTTGTCGGATCTAGATCTTCGGCGTGAATCCAAGCGTCGCCCTTCAACTCTCCATACAATTCCGCTGCTTGCTTTTCCACTGGCACTCGCGTGCGTATCTTGAATACTGCCACTCGTCTCCAGAAGTCTTTCATGGTCATCGTCTGTGGGTCGAAGCTCGGCACCTTCACGTTGTAGCTGGGGCCACCGTTGGTACCCGCTTCATCATCGTCGGGCGCCGCCTTTGGCGCCATCTCGCTGGAGAACTGGACGAATTACTTGTAATTCAGAAACGTGTAGGGCGTCCAGGTTTTCTCCCCCAGCGTCCACTAGAATATTGCTCGATGGGCAATCCACCTGATAGCGGTCAATCCGCTGGGCCACTTGATAGCACGAGATCTGCAGTCCGCGGCTCGAAGTGCTCCGCTGCCAATGTGAAGATGCAACCCCTGATCCGTTGCGACGGATGTCGATATGATATGCTATAGGTTTCCGCTGAACAGCCTAAGGCTCAAGGGCCCTGAGCCACAATGTTACACACAGTCAGTACATCATGAAACGAGGGGCAAGTACGTGCATGCACACGCCATCACTTTCACACCCTCCTCCTCCTCCTCCTGTCTCTCCTCGTCCTCCCCCTCCTCCCCCTCCTCCCCCTCCCCCTCCTCAGCCCTCCTCCTCCTCCTCCTGTCCCTCCTCCTGTCTGTTTCCCTCCTCCCCCCCCTCCTCCTCCTCCTGTCCCTCAACGTCCTCTTCCTCGTGATCCATTACTCCAGCAGACTTTCTTTGTGCGCGAATATTTTTTCCACGAAGCACCCCCGAAGTTTCCCGGAAATAGCCTGAGACCAGGGCTTTCCTTTAGAACGTGAACTTGTCCCTGGGTGTCACGTTGAGGGGAGGTTGGCGGAATTCCATTCGATAGAAAATCTAATGAATACTGATTCGGCGTGGAAGAATGCGTTTCGCGCGTGCCTGCTTCAGGAAAATGGACGCCCCATGTCAGATTCGCCATGAATAACCAGGTCCGATGACCTTCGTTCCCCCTTGTGAGAACAAGGCGCGGAGCTCTGTCCGCATAATCATTAAGTAACGTGGTCTGGAGACCCTCTCAGTTCAACACAAAACCAACTACATGACCTTTTGCGTCCCCGCTCGAGGATGGCGCGTCCTGCGCGCAGAAATTGTAAGGATATCTCGAGCGAAACGCTCGCTTTGGAGAGGTGGAGAGGCCGTCCATTTTGCCCCAGTCCTTTTCGCTACAGGGCGGAACAGGTGTGAAAACACGTGGGTCCCTTTCGCCTCAGGGCGCGGCAAGCGCGAAATCACGTGAGCCCCATTCGCCTCAGAGCGGAACGAGGGTGCAAACACGCGGGCCCCTGTCGCATCAGAGCGGAGCAAGCGTGGAAACACTCCCTCGCGCTCGCTCCGCTTTGGGGCGAAGAGGGGCCCACGTGTCTTCACGCTTGCTGCGCTCTGGGGCGAGATGGGCCCACGTGGTCTCACGCTTTCTGCGCTCTGGGGCGGGAAGGGGCCCACGTGGCTTCTGGTCTCGCGTTCGTTCCGCTCTGGGGCGACAGGGGCCCACGTGCTTTCACGTCTGCTGCGCTCCGGAGCGACAAAAAGACCCACGCGATCTCACGCCCTGCTCCCGTGCTTGTATCCCCCCTCCTCCTCCTCCCCCTGCTCCTCCTCCTCCTCCTCCTCCTCCCTCCTCCTTCCTCCTCCTCCCTCCTCCTCCTCCTCCCTCCTCCTCCT